GATGAAACTGCTGCAATTTATATACCTCGTAAAATTTCATGATTCAGTTCTGAATTATAGTTTTCCTGTGTGCGCCCTGTGTGTTGGTGGTTGGTGTATCTGTAACATGCAATCGTGAGCTGTGTTAACTGTTATATATGGAACCCGGTGCTGCTACTTTCAGTGTGGCTGTATGTGTACTTTCTTGATGCTGTGTGTATTGTGTAGCTATGCACTTTCTGTTGGGTTGGTTCTGTTCTATATATGATGGATGGGTCTGTGTGCTGCCATCTACCTGATATGTTCCTTACGTTTAATTTCGGTTCAGGTACTTTCATCAAGGAAATGTAGTCGGTTTATTCCTTCTGTCGTAATTTAGAATGAAGTCGTAGCATCGACGTTTCAGGTGTCAGCGATTTGAACTTCCGTTTTACGGAAGATAGCAGCGCCTTAGTTACGGTATAATAGTCAGGGTTTCGAAATCCCATCTCGTTAAGCGGAGGCTGACCTTGCATGTAATATATTAAGTAGCCTATACTCATCACGTATATCAAAACGAAGCCCTGTCGTTGATAGACTTACATAAATCATGTTGCACTGTTGAAGTGATAACACAGGATGTGAGTTTTGATGAGAACACTGGTTTAAAGCGCAAGCAGTGATTTGGGTAAATTCTGCGGCTCCTGTGAATGTGCCAGTCCCTAGTTCACACAGCGGAGTCAGAATACTGCTTTACAATATTGTACCCATTATTAATCTCGGGGAAGGGGGGGGGGTAGGAACTTCAGAATTGTCTTAAGTACCGTTGATTGTTTCGAAGAATATTCCTAAAATTATTCAGTCAGCATTTATGGTCTTTATACATATAGTCTTTCTAATATGTATTTGTTTGGAGTCCAAATAGTAGACAGAAAATTCGAGAAGTATATTTTGTGATGTTCATTTTCGTTTTAATAAAATAAGCATGCTTGAAATTTTACATTGGAACATTGGTGGAGTGATAGGGAGGTCGAATTTCTCTGAGAAGAACCTGGCCCACTGCCACTTTATCTGCCTCAAATACCTCAAGGACTACCTTTGGACTAAACCCAACCTCCACTTACTTACTTACTCATGGAGCTGAGCCCTTCTGGAGGAGCCGCCAATTGTGCAGCTACTCAAGAATGTCCCAGCATTTTATGGAACCCGAAGGTTCATTACCGTGTTCACAAGAGCCCTCCACTGGTCCCTGTCCTGAGCCAGATCTATTCTATCCATAACTTCCCATCCTATCTCTCTAAAATCCATTCTAATATTGTCCACCCGCCTACTCCTTGGTCTTCCCTGTGGTCTCTTTTCTTCTCGCTTTCCCACCAATATCCTATACGCATTCCTCTTCTCCCCCATTCCTGCTACATGCCCTGCCCACCACATTCTCCTTGACTTGGTCATTCTAATTATACTTAGAGAAGCGTACAAGTTATGAAGCTCCTCATTATGCAGTTTTCTCCAACCTCCTGTCGCTTCATCTCTCTTCGGTCTAAATATTCTCCTCAAACACCCTTAGTCTATCTTCCTCCTCTAATGTCAGAGACCAAATTTCACACCCATACAGAACCACAGGCAAAATTATAGTTTTGTATTAACAGGGTGTTAATCATACAAATAAGAAATTAAAAAGCGCAGATGATTTCTAAGGATGACAGCGTGGAGAATTGACAATGATAATACAGGCCTAATAGAATTAATTTGCATTCGAAAGTACACGCCCATTGTAATGTCTTTATATTAAAAAGTGCAAGCCGAAGCAGAAACAAAACGACATTGAGCATGCTACATACGGCAGCAATCTGTCGTTAGCATAACCTGTCATGACTCCCTGATTTGTTTCTTTGAAATTCTTTCCTTCGTGCTCCCGCTCCTCGTCCAGCCCTTGTATAGGAAGACTGATCCTGTGCTGCCTTTATTAGCGAACCTAGACTCTGTACAGTGCAGAACAAAATTCCATTGAACATCAAGTTCCGCAAAGAAATTATGGCACCTGAATTTCTGTAAAACTATTCTGTTAATTAAAGATTAAGTACACTAATTAATGGTTTATTAAAAAGGCAAAGTTGTCCCTGTGCTTAATTAATTAAGCACTACGCCATAAAAGCGTATGGGGAAGTGAATATAGTATATAGCCACACTTTTTGCCCTCGGCACTAGCTTCACGCCCCGGCCACTTTACCCCGGAGAAAGAACCCCCGGTACGTATTGGATAGGAGGTTGAGTGAACCCCAGAGCCAGTCTGGACGACGTGGAGAAGAGAAAACTCTTGACCTTACCAGGATTCGAACTCCGAGCTTTCGGTCGTCCAGCCCGTATCCAGTCGCTATACCTACTGCGCTATCCCGGCTCCTAATTAATGTTATGTTTCTGTTCGTAATTTACGTTAGAAATGATTCACACTACCTGAAGGCTGTCAGATGCAACTCAAATGGTTTTACTGTCACAACATTTATAATAAACTTTTTTACATTTAGCTTGTACTTATATTTATGATCTACATTTGCTGAAATTCGTATTATCTTCACTATGGTGATTATACAGTTATCAAAACGTAGTAATAAATGTAAGCCTACATTTAGCCCAGTCGCCATGTTATTACTCATCCTTCTGGTAGATTAGTTAGTTAGTTAGTTATTAGAGAGGGTGGGTTTCCCCATGCACTTAGACTTGTAGTGGTCCATTGTGCTTCCCTCTATGATTTCTACCAGTCTCTATATCCTACCGGTATTGGTACTTACCATCAGTCCCACCCAGCCAGCGAGACCGGCTCTCTACTGGCTGAGAAGTATCTATAATGCTTCCCCCATCTACCGGAGGTATTAGTGACTGCTGTTGGGCGGCAAACGTCCGCAATTTTGCTCAGTGACCTCCATTGGAGGTATGGGGTTCTTTTACGTGCCGTAAAGCTACGATACGTGACCCACGGCTTAAAGTCCCTCCCGGAGGACTTGTTCCCTGAATTTTTCCGCCCTTAAAAATTCGACGACCTCCGCCGGGTATTTGAACTCGCGTACTACGAGTCATGAGGTGGAAACGTTACCTTCTGGTAGAGTAAGTCTCTCTTCGAAGATCTGTATAACAATTGAGGTTCTTCATTCATGGCCTTCAGTACAACGCTCTTTTCGGCAGTTGGCCTGACCAACAAGTTAGTATGATTGTGTCGAATTAAAATAGCATAATTTCTTTTTGCCTTTTAAGGTTCTGGACGTTCATAGTAAGTTTTATGAAAATTAATTTGTTGGTTCAGAAATTAGTATTGGATGGCAGACGCGCGCGCATTTCTCGTAAAATAAAAAAAAAAAGACAAGAGGACATTTCGCTCCTTCTTATGTCAACTGGACGTTAATCTGTTAAAAGCAGAGCATTTTGTCAGAATGGTAATGCACCCGATTTCAATTTTATTACCATTCGGTGACCTGTTCATTTTTCTTTTACAGAAATTATCAGATAGAAAATTAACATATACATATTTTACAAGTTTGTAAGAAATCTGAATAATATTATGACTTATTTATGTATGGCGATGGTGTTCTGCTGAGTACGAATCGTTATATGACAAAAATCATTGGAAAACTTTGCCCAGACACTTCAAAATTTGCTGATATATATGGATATTTTACACTGCGAGACCATAGTAGGTAAGCCTGTGCCTACGGCCTTCTGGGTGACCTGTTATGTGGGTACTGTGCCTGGAGAAAACATTCGTGGGCCTCACCTGCATTATGCACCATATTGCTACACCACTCGCCCGTATGTAACGATTTCAAGAACTCCTTGTCCTGTAGAGACAGGCTAACGTAGCCACCTTCCCCTTGCTCTAGTCGCACCTCTCTTTGTGTATATTCTTTATTTTTTTATTGCTAGTGGGGTGGGACTAAGTCCCCTGCACTGCGGCCACTTCTGGCCTATTGTACCAACCCCAGATGATAGGTGAGGGTGATTGTGGAGCAATTGGTGGAATGAAGATTGGCAAGGGAAACCGAAGTACTCGGAGTAAACCTGCCCCAGCGCCACTTTGTCCACCACAAATCCCACTTGACCAGACCCGGGATCGAACCCGGGTCGCCGCAGTGGGAAGCCAGCGACTAACCGCTTGAGCTATGGCGCGGTCTTCTCTTCGTGTAAGTATTGCCAATGTTTAGGTGCCCCTTGATTCAGAGTGTAGCTTCGATTCTATAGAACGCAGCATAGAACGAGAGCACATACATTGAAAATATTTTCACAGGTTAGGTGTAAACGTGTTTATTTATTTAGGCGGATACTTCTCGTCTCTGAAGTTAGTGATTATGTCTGCTTTGCATTTAACAGTTAAACTTTAGAATAACATACAAAAAGTGTTAGACCGCTGGGAATCACCCTGCCTCCTATTGCAGTGGGTAACAAGGGCCGTTTCTCCAGGGAGGAAAACGGCAGGAGCGTGAAGCTTAGCACTCCCCTCCATCTAGCGCCGAAATTAAGAGTGGTGGAGATTACGTTCACTCCACCATGCGTCATGGCTTTGTACTTAATTAAATAAGCACAGGGATATCTTTGTGTTTTACCTTTACCTTTATATATTTATGTGGCCTTTGATAATTACATTAAATTAAAAGGCAGGGGCCATCCAAAAAGATTTCGTCTGATTTCTAATCGGTATTTTCTGATAAGGAATTTGAGTTTGAGCGCACGATGTTTAAATTTAAACAAGAAAGAGGCTACAGGTAGGTTAATAAGATGCAGCGACGACTGTTGATGCTTCTACCAACCTCTACATGTCGCTACTGTCGACATAAACTCATCCAATTTCAGATTATTTAATTATTGGGAAAGTTAACTGTAAAAATTAATCAACTGTAAACAGCTGTTGATTGGCAGATGGTCAGTAATCAGCTAGGTTTATCCGATAGATACAGCCACACTGACTGGAACGCTACCGTGACGAGCTCCGATTCAAATGGTGTTGGAGTTGTTACCCATGTTCTTCAGTCTCAGTTCAATTTGCTCTTTTGCAGGCTTCTGACCGCAAACTGGCACCTCCCCGTAGCAGGCCTTCCACTCCGAGGGAGCTACTCATGGAGTCTATCAAGAAGGGTCGGAGGCTGAAGCCCTCTCTGAACCCGCTCAAGAAGAAATGTGAGTACTACATTACTTTCCTATAAGCCAAGGGTGGACAATGATTGTTTACTCGGGATCAGAACGAACCAGAGGATGGTTTATATTTCCGCATGCAAACTTCAGATTTAAATGGGAGGATAGGATTCAAGGCATTGAAACTAAAGAAATTATCTTTAATACGTTTTTAATGAATGTATTTGTAATTTACTGTTATGAAATTGAGGCATGTGGTAACTTGGTTGAGGCACTATGCTGCAAGTCGTAAGGTCGTGGGTTGAGTCCCAATGTGGTCATTGAATTTTTTTTTTTCAATTTTCCTAATCCTTCCAGCCGCACTATGGCCCTGGACCTCTATCAGAAATGAGTACCAGGAATATTCCTGGGGGGTAAAGGGCGGGCGGCGCGTAAGGCTGACAACCTCACAACCATCTGTGAGTCGATTGTCTAGAAGATGTGAGAGCCTCGACCTCTTACACCCCTGTGGGCCTTCACGGCCTGTTACAGGGACGGCTTTGCCTTTTTCTCCCATGGCTCTACAGCTCCAATTTGGGCCTTGGCCTACCTCCATGAAACTCTCCGTTTCACTTCGGTTTACTAGATCTTAGACATTCGGTAGGACTCCTTTGGCGGATGGTCAGCTCGTTGCAAGGCCTCTGCCTGTACACAAACACAGAAAAACGCACACACACAAACACCAAACATTCATGCCCTGAGTGGGATTCGAACCTACGATCCCGGCCTCCGAGCGAGCGTAGACCGCTCGGCTACCGTGACCGTCACTTTTTTTACTGTTATGAAATTAAATGTATGCCCCGACGAGAGATCTTTTGTAATAGCCGCCTATAAAGAACGATTAGGAACTAAGACGTGAACGAAATCCGTAAATGCTTCTAGCTATATATTTTAGAACCTGTCACAGTCGCTAGTTGAAAATTTTAGTGCAGGGATTTGAACACGTAGACGGTTAGATGAACGAACTTTAAAATTGGAGGAGAGCGTTCTTAAATTAATATACAGCGCCACTTTGAATTTAGGAGTTAACAACGCAGTACCTTCCACACAGTAAATATGCCAGGGCTTCTTAGATAATACGATGTATGTACAAGATGTATCGCTGCGTGTTTACGAGTGCAATGCATATAGTAATGATATCTGATAGAGAACACGTGTTATTTATATGTAGTTGTATATATATTGTAGTATTCCGGCTATACAGTACGCATTTGTATTGTTTTATACAGTGATAGGTTACATAGCAACATGTTTCGACTTCTGGTCATCTTTAGGTTCTTATATTTATTGTTATCGAAACTGCTCTTCTTGTCAGACATTGGGCGATGTCTGCAAGGAAATTTTAATCCCATACAAGCTGTTAAAATTATTCTAATAAAGTTACTACGTCAACTTATCAAAACTATTGTGTGTTACACCTTTCCTTGCAGACATTTGCCAATGTCTAACAGTGGCAGCAGTTTGACAGATAATTAATATAACATAACCTGGTAGTGACCGCATGATGGAAACATGTTGCTATAATAGAATGTTATGTGTAAATCTGCAACTGTTTATTGTTTAGAAGGTACACTATACATACATAATGCGTAACTGGCACAACATAGCTTACAGATACGATATTGCATACAATGTTAATAAGTTATTGATTCTGACATTTCAGTATAGCTCAACATAGTAAAGTATTGTCTTTTATAGAATAAAGTATTGTCTGTTTGGTGAAATGTATTGCAGATTACGGTTACGACGTACTCGTATTTCTGCGAGATATATTACGTTTTTATGCTTCTTTTGTTTTATAAACTTTTTTTTTTTTTGCATCTGAACTTCATTCCGTGAGTTCGTTGTATGTACATACCTAACAGCTCAGGCCCCCCAACTGAACATGTGCCACATGGCCAAACAGACCTCATCCTATGTGCAGCTATTCGCCCTCTCTCCGTGTATGGTCGTTCTCGAAATGTGTGGGTATTCAAATGAATGCAGAGTATGTCTCGTAACATGGCCGTATTCGAGAAAGTACTATTATATTATTCATGCACTTCCTGGAACTTGTTACAACACCCATAAAATGCGTTTTTCTTTTGTTGTAACAGTAGACTTGGTGCAAGTACGATCTTTCTGTACTTTATGTGTCAGTTTCTGGGTTTCAAGAGCGTTAATTGAGTCGTGTCTTCTTAGGTTCTTGCAGTATCTGAAGGGTCTTTGTAATTAGTCGTGATACTCGAAGAAATAGTTATTTTAATAGAACTCTGACTTCCAGGAAAGTGTTCCTTCGTATAAGAAAATGTTGACTTTATATATATTCGGTGAAAATTATTTTGATTTTTGGAAGACTGATACTAGATTGCTGTTCTTGTTGTTATCAGGAGGAGGCCTGTTTCTGTATTTTTTGTGTTCAAAATTGTTTCTTCTTTCTCAGTTCTACAGCTCTTGGTGGGCTTTGGCTTCCTACACAGTTAGCCGCCATGCATTTCCTTCTTGTGCCTTCTCTTCCCATTAGCAATCCTCCTCCTTCTTACTCGTAAGTCATCCTTCATATCCCGGAACCACCTCTTCCTAGGCTTCAAAATTGAGTGGATCAGTAATTTGTAACTCCGTAACAGAATGAATTGTATATAAGTTTTTTAACCACCGTCCAGTGTGATTAATAAAATTTGTGCTTTTAATTTTTCATCCTTTACATGTTTAGGTCAAAACGACCATCTTCAGAAGGACATTATCAACACATATTGAAACTGCTATTACCATGTCATAGATATAAATGTTATGTATCTTTTAACTACATAATAGTAAGATGTACTTTAATTTGTTAAAACATCTAAAAATTATTACAATTTGTCTGTTTAGAAAATAGTGTACAATATTTATTTTAATCTAAAACAAATTTGGTTCGTGTCGTTACACTTCTACATTAAAACAGTTTATTTATTTGATATAAATAGTTTATGTTGTCAAATAACCCAACAAACCCTGCATTCAACAGAAAACAACAAAGAACTCAATTTCATGACACGATATATGTAATTGATCGTTGAATGTTTCTGATTCGGCTGTAACAATGAAACATACTGACTTTTCTTCTAAATGACACCAGTTCAGAATTGTGATGTCACGATTTAATGTCCCCATTAGAAGTGTTGGTATTTATCATTCCAACACTCCATTCATCAAGAAAGCCGGGAGTTGCATTCTAATGCAAGAGGGAGCCCTCTTACGAGACACAGTTATTAAGTATATATATCAATAAAGCTTTAATTAGCCATGAGACAGAACTGAATTTCGTCTCAAAGCACAAAAACCTGTAGGGTTCTCTCCTACGCAATATACCGTGCTATCACATCCTGCCATCCATTACAAAAGCGTTTGGCCTACAGCAAAACGTGGTAGGTGCTATGTGGCAGGCCCCTAGGATTAGCAGGACCGCTTGTAAGATTCTAGGGATATTGATAGATCAGTTAAAAAGGGTTATATTAACGGATAACAAAACAGAAACCACGTGAGCAAAGTTAAAATACTATTTGCTCAATTCGTGACACATATTTCACGATTCTGAAAGTTCAGGAGTATTGCCCAATGTCTATAGAGCTGCGCTGACACAACCTCTCATGATTTTCTATCAGTATATTGACGTATTTCCAAATAGGTTGTTTATGTTGTGATCTTAAACGATTTCACTATAAGGAACACAGAGGTGAAGAGGCAGTAAAGTTGGTCGATACTCTGCGTATTTGTTTGTTTTTTCATGTTTTAGAATGCTTGAACAAACTCCATGCAGCACAGTCAATAAGTTACGTGGTGTATATGAACCAAACTAACGTCGCGGTCTGTCACCCCTGCTTCGTATTCTGAAAGTCCCGGGTTCAACTCTCAGCCCGGAAATGTTTCTTGTGGGTTTCCTCTTTCTCTTCAGACAGATGTGACGATAGCACGTCATATTAGGTCCCGGCTGTCACCATCCACATCTTTTCAAAATTCGTTATTCACGAATCTTCCTATCATTCTGTGGGCTCTGTGTCGCGGTACGTTTTACCCTGAAGACGGAGGAACCGTTTTCCTCCATAATGTTGGTATCCACGTACCAAACTACATTCAGGAGACCTTGACCTTGGTACTCACTGCAGTGAGAACATCAGATCTCGCATAAACAAAATGTATGAAACCCAAACCTCTGTTAATTACCATGTTCACAGGAGGCCTCTTCAGCTTTTGCTACTACTGTAGAACTTGGTATGCAATAAATGCTTGAGTATAATAATTTGAGGACCCAGCAGAGAACAGAGGCGGCATTTCAGCAGACAATACTCTTCGTCTTTCAATCCTCTTTCGATTTATAGAAGACCTCGCGCCACATGTCATTAAGAAGTCCGTCTCCGAACGCCCATTTTCTACAAACCTGAAGCTTAGAGAAATACCTGATAGGAATGGAAGGACAGTTAAACCTCCCTCGTTTAGTAGCAACTTTCATTGGCTCTCCTCTTCAATACCGTTTAAGTTCTAATGCTGAAAATACAGTTGTCACAGGAACAGTCTGCCTCTTTACAGCATCATATCATAGTTCCACTACATATTTCACATGGACTTGTTCCATCTCGTATTTGTTGCTGGACACTTGTCTTAAGGCAGCCGGAATTTGCCCTTGTGTAACACTTCATTGATGCTGAAGTGGGTTTTTCGGGCAGTTAGTCTTACTGTTTCTTTACGTTTACAATTATATCCAGCATTTTTCTGCTCGGCTGATGCAGACGGAGGCCGATTCCAGTGTGAGTTGCACTTCCTGATCGGTAGTAGTTATGGCGCCGAAGAACCTGTTGTGGTTTCGGGGCCCACCTAAGAACTAAATTACACGCCGTAGTCGTTGAAGCAAGGGATGCGATATTAACATCAGCGAAGCGTAAAATAAAAGAAAAAAGAACAAAATAATTAGTGAAAGAGAAGAAATGAAACATGTTGGACAATGGGACACGCTTTGGCTGCAGACAGAATAGTTAGTTACCGTGTTCTTC